CGTAAGACTTGCCACTGTCGACCCTCTTTAATGCCACTTTAACTTCGCCCTTGTGATCTAACCCTCGCAGCCAGCTGTTCTAGTCGAGGAAAGTCGGCTAAATAGCTGCGAAACTCTTCGCCACATAAACCAGGATCCTTAGTAAACCGGTTCTGGAAATACCGCTGAAATGCTGTCGTTGGTTGACCGCAGGTTAAACTATCCTGGGTGTCGACCTGCTGAATGTCATGATCGGAACCTTGACGTATTTCTCTCTTGCGCAATTCTGCAACGATGTTCACGGCTTCGATAGACCTCCTGTTTAATTTATGTCTAACTACCTGACCCTGGTAGTGTTCGCTAGCTGCTAGCTCAAGAGCCTCCTTAACTAGACCTATCTCTTGCAAATCCTCTCCCGCAGCCTCCGCCAAGGCGAACTATCCATAAATGCCTTCATCTTTTTAGCCTTATCTCTGGTGAGTCGTTGGCTATATTCAGTGGTGAAAAACCTAATCCTATCCTTAAGTTTCTCCCACCACTTATTCTCAATAACCACCCCACTATCTTTCGCTGCACTAATCTAATCAGCTGTTGCCTGAAGTTTCTCCTGTCCAGTAAGGACAAGTTGAACTTCCAGTATCCAACCATTCCAGGCCCAGAATCTAACAACAACCGAGCAAAGACAAGTCTGTGGCTCGAATAGCCTAACCGGTGGAACGGTCTAGCAAATGTAGATTGACACTTCTCACTAACATTCCATCTTAAACGTAGACGGCCACTTAAAAGCCACATCTCCCGCCACGGCTGATCGACCCAGTAGCTATCGATGAGACGAAACTGGTCGATCAGATCGACCAGACTAGCTTCCAGCCCTTATCTGTGCTGGAGTCTATGGATGGCATTCCAGTGCCCTATTAAGACAAAGCGCGATATATCCACTTGGAACAGCCCTAGCTGTCGGTAAAAAAAAAAAAAAAAAAGATCCGATCTGTCATGTCGTTGGGTGCATAAACCGCAACTAACCGAAACCAACAACTTTTCACGGCAATATCGACCACGATAATCTGCGATCCCCCGCAATACACGAACATCGATGTCGCAAACAAAATGTGTCTCCTGATTCGCAGCAATATCTACACCAAAAGATAAGAGGTCACGAAACAGTTGGGCAACCTTTGCCGATCCCTCAAGCCTCTCGCATTCAAGCATGCCAGCTTGATAGCCATTTCTCAGTACAGACTTAAACACCGACTGGACAGAAATCTACGGGAGTAAGAACCCCCGACAGAATGTCCTAGGCTACCAGAGCAAACGTTGGGTGTAATCCGTCCGTCAGTGAAAATTCCGCCGACGTCCGTCTGGAATGCTAGCTTAAGAGGTTTATATGACGAGGGGTGAAGCAAAAGCGTGGTCCTCTGCACAATATTTTGCTAATTTCTTCAGTTCAGCTGTCTCGAACTAAGACATCCTGAGCTGATGTAAAGAGACCCTTGCGGCCGATAGGAACTCCCACACTTTCTGCCTGCCTCCTGAGTTCCGAATTAAGGTAATGACACCAGGGGCCTTAGGGAAGTTCCTGGGGTCCTCTGTCGACTTCCCATCAATGTAGTTTAATTTTAATAAAGGCTTTAAGAAGGCGTTTCTCTAAAAGGAAAGAATCTCTATCGAGGGCCTGCCAGTCTATTCTACATATTGCTTACACCCCACCTAGAGGGGAAGACTTTTTTGAGGTGGAGTGAGGAGGTATCTGACAGAGCCCTACTCGTTTTACCTTCTTTTTCGTTCTCTCTCTCTCTCTCTCTCTCTCTCTCTCTCGTTTTACCTTCTTTTTCGTTCTCTCTCTCTCTCTCTCGTTTTACCTTCTTTTTCGTTCTCTCTCTCTCTCTCTCTCGTTTTACCTTCTTTTCTCTTCTCTTCTCTCTTTCTCGTTTTCTTCTTTTCGTTTCTCTCTCTCTCTCTCTCTCGTTTTACCTTCTTTTTTTTCTCTCTCTCTCTCTCGTTTTACCTTCTTTTTCGTTCTCTCTCTCTCTCTCTCTCTCTCTCGTTTTACCTTCTTTTGACATGGAGGTTTATCATGCTTTCTTCCTGGCGGATTGAGTATTGCTACGGGCCATCGCTCGATCCACCTTTCTTTGTCCAAACTTTCTCCTTTTTAATCAGCTTGTCATCCCTCTCGTCCTTCTTCCGCCCTCTTTTTAAAGATGAGAACCGAGATGAAGGCACTTCATCTACCACCATGAGCAGGTTCAATTGTGGCGGTTCCTCCAACTCATTTCTTTGGTTGGACATCCTGCTAGGAAGGAGGATTTGCCGCCTTCGATTCCCTCCTCACTACCTGTCTACACTCACTTAGGCCGTCGGACTGGCTGGTTTCTTTAGGTGATGTTGGCTACAAACGTGGCGCCGGGTTCCCCCCGGGGTATGCCTGAGACAAGTGCCCCATAGCACCACAGAACCAGCATTATGGACGACGACCTTCCACGATGACCAAGATAGTTAGGCCTCAACAAGATAACGTACAGGATGTCCAGAAAATGCTTTCGGGTCATTGTTATTTGTAGGAAATCGTTCCCAATGGTAATGCCCGCTCTGCTTCTGATGGATGAGACATCCGCCGACTTGTCCAAATTTTGCGAAGAAGGCACCCAGCCATTCCCCATTGAGATTCCTTGGCAGCACGTGCATAGTCAGCCTCGTCTTTCGTGTGCCCATATATTCAGTCTGAAGACGGACAGTCTACGTCGATCCAACTGCTTTGCTTCGTCTTCATTAGTCAGCAGGATGTCCCACATAGCGTTTGACCTCTTAGCGAATATCCTTGGTGCAATTTGGAGGCTCTTGAATCTGGCGTCAATGAGCCTACGTCTTTTGACATCTGTTGTCAGTAAAGAAATTGTCTTGGTTGTGACGACCTCGAGGGTCTCCGGAAGGATAAGGAACTCATTTCCTTTTGTGTATTTCCGGTATTGTTCATATAACGCTGCTAGTCTTTATTTTTGGGGGACTGTATGAGCTGGCAATATTGAAGTTAACCGCTGGGGAAGGGAGACTCCGCCATACTGGAGGACTCCCACTTCAGCACACACAACGAAATCTCCAACAAAAAGTGACAAAAAACAGCTAGTAAAAATCAAGGAGAAAACGTAGACAAAATTGACACTTAATTTTTTAAAACAATTTCTGTTGGCTTCAAGTCCAGGGTCAAACGATATCTACCCCCACATGTCCTCATAATATCTACTTCTTACTACCTCCTTCCACTACAACCTCTACGTTGAGTGGTTCCTGGGCTTTTCATTGGGTGAACTAAAATGAAAAATTATATTATGCAGATTTAAGGAGTCTTCCTGATTTTTCCGAAATGTCATATCTATTTCGCACCCCCCCCCCCAGTAGCGTTCCTTCCTTTGCCAATGTTCTCGCAATCGTTCTGACATCTATTCACCCAATCTCGTCTCGTTAAAACAGTGGTTCCCGTACGGTCACTGGAGATAAGCAACATCGAGCCTGGCCAGTACCCGTCTGGGATACCAGGTGCTGTATGTTTGGATGTGCGTATGGTGTAATGGATAATGGCTCGAAATTGGGAAAAGGGAGAGCAGAGTTGCAATTCCAGTCGGGTTCTTAATATTCACTTGCAAGCAAAAACCCTTGCGAAAAGTATGAATCCACCTTCCCCGCCCCCTCATGTGATATTTTCTGGTTTATAAGAAACTGCAAACGGGTGATAAGCTGTAAAAAAACAAATCAATCTAATCTTCAAGTTTGACTTTATGGGCAGCCTTTGAAGAATGCTTTATCGCCGATTAATAAGCGACCAACACTAGTAAAAATGTGACAAAGGTTAGTTTTGCTATTATTATTTTTTTCATCGGTATAACTCCATGCAAGGTAGTAAGACGGAAGGGGTTACAGGGCTTGAAAGAAATAGGAACAGAAACCTTAATAAATAGCGGGAAAAGGGACCGTATCATTTTCTTTTTTTTTTTTTTTTCTCTTTTTTCTTCTTTTTTCTTTTTTTTTTTCTCTTTTTTCTTTTTTTTTTTTTCTTTTTTTCTCTTTTTTCTCTTTTTTTCTCTTTTTTTTGTTTTTCCTTTTTTCTTTTTTTCTTTCTTTTTTTTCTTTTTTTCTTTTTCCTTTTTCTTTTTTTTTTCTTTTTCCTTTTTCTTTTCTTTCTTTTCTTTTTTCTTTTCTTTCTTTTCTTTTTTCTTTTTTCTTTTCTTTTTTCTTTTTTTAATCGACCTCACAGTAAAGTCACGGAGACGCAAGAGGTTACTGGGTGTGGAAGTTAGACAGGAACTAGAACAGTCTACCCCAGCCATCGAAATAAAGGGTTCAGTTCGACATTCCAACCACCTGAAGAAGGCCGAAGCGTACAGAGGCCGAAACGTTGTGATAAATACGGCAACAAAGATGAGGATGATAGTCCGAACAATTTAAATAGTGTACATAACACCTCATCTCAAAAATGTAGACAGATACTGAAGAAACTGAAACATTGCTAAGGAGCGACAGCAGATAGCGATTGACATTACATTTAAATTTTTGCACATTAAAATTGGTTGGAAAGCATAGAGCCGGAAGAGTTCCACAAGCGAGAAGTGCGAGAAAAGAAACTGTTAGCATAGAATTTATCATTGCATCTAGTCAGCTCAATTGTATATCGATGAGAACTCGACGACGGTCTAGTACTGCGCTTAAATTCAAAAAGTCTAGGTACCATATATAGAAAAGAGAAAGGAAAGTAACCTTACGGCGGTTGGAATTTATAGACAAAACTACTAATTGTCATCAGTTAAAGTTACAGGAAATGGCAATACAGATGAGTAATTACTACAGACAGTATCTCTTGGGTTCTGATGCTGCAGGCATTACAGAATATCAGTGAAATTTTGTGTCAATTTGGTGCATGCAAATTTCACAACGCTATGTAAGATGAACCATCAAGATTTTTCAGATAAAATTTAAATTCTAATAGAAATGTAAAATGAAATTTTGACACAAACGCTAATGGGTTGAAAATGCTGGAAAGTTGCGAGCATTGTTTTCCCTCCTTTTATCCCTCTCTCCCTCTCTCTCTCCCCCTCTCTCTCTCTCTTTCCTTTTCTCCCTCTCTCCTTTCCCTCCTCTCCCTCTCTCCTTTCCCCTCTCTCCCTCTCTCCTTTCCCCTCGTTCTCTCTCTCCTTCGTTTTCCCTCGTTCTCTCTCTCCTTCGTTTTCCCTCGTTCTCTCTCGTTCGTTTTCCCTCGTTCATCCATTCTCTCTCAAATTCCTTTTCCCTCATTCTCACCCTACATTCTCTCTCGTTCGTTTTCCCTCGTTCGTTTTCCCTCGTTCTCTCTCGTTCGTTTTCCCTTCTTTTTCCCTCGTTTTCCCTTTTTCCCTCGTTTTCCCTTTTTCCCTCGTTTTCCCTTCTTTTTCGTTCTCTCTTCTTCTCTCCCTACTCATCTCCTTATTCTTTGCAGCTCCTAGTTTTTACTATCACTCCCATTCCATTTATACAAACTGTTTAAGTTACTCGCTGTTATCTTCATCCATCGTGATTCAATATGTCCTGTTAGTGTCAAATTCTGCAAGATTTCTTTCCACTTCCTGTCACTGAAATTTCAACTCTCTCTTTCGGATTTTAAGCCTAAGTGTCCTTTTTCTCTCCATTTTCCTGAAATATCCGTGTCTCTCGTGCCGAATAGATTGCATCTTCACCATTTACCATCTAATTTATTATTCAAGTTAAACTCTGAACTATGCATAAATTAACAACTTCACAATTTCGTATGTCTTAATGAACATCTTGCCATATCAAACTCATCTCTGGAACTTCAAAACGACCTTCAGTTGAGGATTTGATAGGAACAATTGGATTAAATCAAACAATCGTCCTAGAATGCAGTAGCCCTGGAGGTTGCGTGCCAAACCCTGTCAAATATCCAGGGCCACTGCTCGAGCTTATCAAGAGGTTGATATATATATATTCATTGATGGCAGTTGGCACATCAGCGGTAGACCTGGCAAAATGGAAGTCATATTTTTTTGTCAGAGTAGGATAGGGCGATAGTTAAAGGGGTCATAATGTTCTCCAGAGTTCTTAAAAGCACGAACCTTCCAAAAAGTTGGAAGCAGTGAGGCAATACTTGTAGAGATTGGAGAGAATTGGAACCAGCTCAGAGCCAGCTCGGGAGCACATTTTTTAGGATGACGGCTGGGATCCCGTCACCTCCACTTGTCTTATGGGAGTCTAATTTAGCAATAAAGCCCGTGACCATTGCGCATATCACTCAGTAGAACCTCAGTTCTGGTGGAAAATCAGATGTAGATACTCCAAATTATTATTATGTTATTAGCATAATTTTTTTTCTTTTAGTACCTCTATCGCAACTAAACTTGTTTTTATTTGCTATTTTCATGCCTTTAACAACGGGTTCTAATTTTTAAATGTCTCTAATATTACAATGTCTCAAAATATCATGTTAATCCTTCAGAGAATGTATTACTTTCGGTTTTTATACCGTTATCAGCTCGTAGTTTTGTGAGAATTTATCTGAAAGCTTGTCCTGGGAATATATATTGCTTATAAAACGGGATGTATAGAATTTCTGATGTGATCACTACGTTTTTTTTTTTCTTCTCTTTATTGTCTTTAGGAGAATTAACGCCATCAAAATAAGCAGAAATTATTTGAATGGCTTCTATCAGTTAATTTGATTAGATGTTTTAGCGAATGAAAATCTATATGCAGTCTGATAAATTTTAGAGTTATCTGTAATGATAGATTACCAGGTTCTTAATATCAAACTTAATATTCATGGGAAATCATTTCCCTTGCTCTTTTTCTTCCTGTAACATTTCGTTTCGGGAGTTCCATTTTCACATATTTAACACAATCTCCTTTGTGATTTTTTTTTTTTTTTTTTTTAACACCATGTACACTGTTGACCTCAACTTTATTGCCATATTCACGACGTATCGACTTTCTTCGGTATATCTCAATTATTTCCCTTTAGTAACTCGACTCTCCTTTTTTCTTTTTTTCTTTTTTTCTTTTTTTTTTTTTTTTTTTTTTCTTTTTCTTTTTTCTTTTTTTCTTTTGTTTTTAGAGCTCATATTACATTTTTTGTTATTGATGTTTTTTCTCTAGCAGTCTGTATTATAGGTTCCAATATTGTACTAATTCCTATGCTTGGCCGGCTTAGATTTTTGTGGCCTAGCATATGTACTGAACCCTTAAGTTTTCGTATTTTCCAGTGATGTTTATCATTCCAATCTTATCCCACAGAGGGCGGTGATCTCACTTTTCCATTCATATATGGTCAGCCATGCCTGATTTTTTTTTAATATTTCCTCCTTGTATTACAGCTTTACAGTGTTCCTGCAGTCTTATCTTAAGAGGACAGCCTGTTTCTCCATTATATTTCTTACTACAACTGCATGGAATGACGTACACACAATCCTTAATCATATTCTCCTCTATGAGAGAGGTCTTACTCGGAAGAGACGTCTGAAGTGCTAAACCACTTTTGAAGGTCGTCCTGATGTTATATCGACTACAAAACTTTTTTTTCCCGATAATCCCTTCATATAGGGTAGGCAGACCGATGCTGTTTTCGGAGTTGTTATTCTCTTGTACCCTTGTACCCCACTTTATGGGAACTGCTGTCATATACCCTGGGTAGTTGTTGCATTGTAGGGTAAAGATGACAACCGTCCGAACAAGGTAAATAGTTAGAATACCTCCTTTCAGAAATATAGACAGATTTTTTTTCTTGCTTTCTTTCTTTTTGCTTTATCTTTTTGTTTTTATTTTTATCTTTTTTTGTCTTTTTTTATTGTCTTTTTTCTTGTCTTTTCTTTTTTTCTTGTCTTTTCTTTTTTTCTTGTCTTTTTTCCTTTTTTCTTGTCTTTTTTCCTTTTTTCTTGTCTTTTTTCCTTTTTTCTTGTCTTTTTTCCTTTTTTCTTGTCTTTTTTCCTTTTTTCTTGTCTTTTTTCCTTTTTTCTTGTCTTTTTTCCTTTTTTCTTGTCTTTTTTCCTTTTTTCTTGTCTTTTCCTTTTTACTTGTCTTGTCGTTTTTTAAAATTTTCCTCTCTTTTTATTTTCTCAATTATATCTTCAGACTTCGTGAAGCGTTTATTGCCTGAATTATTCTTTTTTCTGCAACTTTCTGCGTCACGATTGGTTCCATACTTTAAACGTCTGTTGGGTATCAAGACCACTTCAGGCATCAATTGAAATTTGCATATGTATAAAGTTGCCATGAAAATGGTTAATCTCTTTCTGCCATGCTTTCTCTTTGCAAGAATCAGATGAGACCGAAAATAGAATTGCCCAATCTTCACTCTCCAGCCTTAGCAGATTTCCAAATCGTTTGCGCGCCCCACTGGTGGGTTTTAGAAAAGTTAACGCTCTACAGCATCTTTCCTAAAGCTACGACATTTTAATCCTATCACTACGCTATCGCTATTTCCTTGACACATGTTCTTATGAACTAAATTCCTTACTTCCAGACCTTTACAGCTAATACACACCATGATGCTTCCAAAAATAATACCCTCATTCCCTCCGTATGTCAAATGTAGGAGAAAGCCCCCCGCCCACGTCAGCTTCTTCCCAAAAACTGCTACTTTGTAGAACACCTACGTGGATACTTAACATCTTCAAGTCAATGGTCAATTGATATTTATCTTTCTTATCCTAACAATCTTCACTTTCAACTACCTCCTCTTTTATTCATATCCTAGACTACATTTATAATAACTATATTAACATGAACCCTCGACTTTAGGTTGTTGTTAGGCCAGTGGTGTAGCTAGAGTAAACGTCACCCGGGGCGGTCCGCTCAAATGTCACCCCAATGACCCCGATTCCCCCTATGCTGAATGGTTAGCTGTAGCTAAATTTTCATACATGCTCTACCTCTACTTTACTCTACTGACCGGTACATTACTGTTTACATGTATGAATCCAAGACAAAATCCAATACCACAAAATAATCAGTTCAAATCAAAAGATGATTTCCTACTCACAAATTTCCCGACAATTTATTAGAAAATTTCTGACGGGGGAACAAAACTGGGGGTCATAAATTATTTCTGGGGGTCATATGCCAGCCTGCGAAACCCTGTCTCCACCACTGTTTTCAGACTATTTTTGGCACCTTAGCCTGGTTGAAAAATTTTGTTGGTGGTGACATTGTGTCACCCCTCCTGTGCTGGCACCCGGAACGGTTCGCCCCCTCTACCCCCCTTAGCTACGCCACTGTGTTAGGCTTTCTAATGAGTGAACTTTCTTTTAAATTAAAGCTTCACAAAAAGGAATTAAATTTGCTGAATTTTCAGTTTACTGGGTTTTAATTGTTGAAAAATTGCTATTAGTTGAGTATCCCTTTTCTTTTTCTTGGATGTGAAAATGGTTTAATGGCACTGAACGAGAAATCAGAGGGTCGTCTAAGTTCCACACCTACAGCTTCCCTCCCTTGACGCTTTCCTTGTTGAAACGACAAACCGAACAATGTTTCCTCATTACCATAAATGATAATATCTTTCAAATCTAACGTCAACGTTATCTATCCTACATATCCTCGTAACATGTACCTATGGCTTCCTCTGTGCACGTCCTTGCGTTATTTACTAACCTTCTATCTTAAGTGAGTCTTTATTCTTTGTATTGAGTGAAAAAAAAAAGAAACAAACGATCTATAGTTGCGAACCGCCCAAAAATGTAACATTTGCACAATTCAATTCTAATTTATTCTAATAGTTATGGAAATTATCCAAATTTAATCAACCTCGATTTTATTTTGAGGGGTAGTCGAATAAATATATGGATGCTGTACAAAAATATCTAAAAAAAGGAAAAAAACTCGTTAACATTTTTGGATAATTTTCTAAAGAAAAACGAGTTGAAGACTTTGTGCAAAAAAAAAAAAATCAGGCGATGTTTTTGTGTTGTCACGGATGCGTACTGCGCATGCGTAAGTGACTTGTTTGGCGGCGGATCTCTAATTGGACTAATGAGCATGTTTTCATGAGTGAATGTAGCACTGGAAATTTTACTAAGCTTCCGTTAATAAGAAACCGGTTCAAATGTGAGGAAAACGGGTAAGAGAAAAAAAAGGAAAAGGAAAAAAAAAAGCCAAGTATAATGTAGCCAAATAACTCGTTCTTGATATATTCTGTCTTTTTGCTCTTTCTCTCTCTCTCTTTCATTCTTTTCTCTCTCTCTCTCTCTTTCATTCTTTTCTCTCTCTCTCTCTCTTTCTTTTCTCTCTCTCTCTCTCTCTCTTTCATTCTTTTCTCTCTCTCTCTTTCATTCTTTTCTCTCTCTCTCTTTCATTCTTTTCTCTCTCTCTCTTTCATTCTTTTCTCTCTCTCTCTTTCATTCTTTTTCTCTCTCTCTCTTTTCATTCTTTTTTTTCTCTAGAATTCTTTCATTCTTTTCTCTCTCTTTCTTCTTTTCTCTCTTTTGTGCCATCCATCTCTCTCTGCTTTCAGGTTTTTTATGGCTGCTCTCACATTTAATCCTTGTTGTGCCATCCTTTTTGCCTGTTGTGCGCTGCTTTCTTCACTCCTTTTTTGCCTTCAATATGCCCTGTGAGTGTCAAATTCTTCAAGCCGTCTTGCCTCATTAAGTGCCGTAGAATATTTCAACTCTCTCTTTATGATGTTAAATATATTTCATTTTTGTTTCTATTTTTCCTTAAATTTTGTCGTTGCTCATATGTTCAGTCTATGATATCCTCAGCATCCTTCTGTAGAACCACATTTCTGTTGCTTCAAATCTCCTCTTCATCTGTGCGGAGATTGTCCAGTATGCACTGCCATAGAGAAGGACCGATATCACGTAACGGTTCCGTACGGTTTTTCTTCGTGACTAACGAAACCCGTAAACGTGAAACATGATCCCTTTTTCAATAAAATGTCCGTGTATATTTTGCTGAAATTTCACGATTTCAAAGATGGCTGTGTAGCAGAAAAAATTAGCCGTGAAGATCAGCAAATGGCTAGTACAAAGTTGCCCATATGAACTGATAGTTACTATTTCCATGTAAGGTTGTCTGTTTTTACTGATTGTCATGACCTCAAGTACAGCTTAGTTTAAAAAACAAAATGGTGGTATAAAATTAGGATAATACTTTACGAAAGCCATCAAAATGTCTGCCTATACAGGTTTAACACGTACAGACACTTTAAAATGATTTTCATTGCAACCCAAACAAGAACCAAAACCATTCTGCATGGCGCTTTACCGATAATAGGGTCACACCCGAACTATCACCACACTGAAATAACTAGGGGTGGATGTCGTGTATAGGCAGTCCGATTAACTATAAGCCTAGGTTATGCTATTTGACAAGTGTTGTAGCATTAACAGGTGGATCTTCTGCTCCAATATCGTGAATGGCAAAGGAATGAGAACACACCTGCTGTACATACGTCTGTTACTGCCTGCATTGGCGGCAAAACATCATCTTACAGCTGAAATGGCAAGATGTAACCGTAAATTCTATGCAGAGAGTTCCTACCCTCACACGTGTCGAACGTGGAACAGTCTTTTGGATTCTTGCCTTAAAATTTTTGAAGATCAAGGTCAATCGTTGTTATCAGTCTTTTGAATTTATGTTCTTGTATTGTTCTCGATTCTTGAAGATTTTCTTTTTCTTGTATTTTTTCACAGTCAGTAACCACCCTGCGCATTAGTGGCTTTATTGCCTTGCTTGGAGTGAAATGATTTAAAAAAAAAATAGATGCTTTCTCGATCGACCTGTATATAACCAAGCAAATATATTTTTTCTGCATTTTCTGTTTGATCTGCCTCCACAACCGACATGAGTAATGGTAAAACAAAATGGATCGATTTAACCGTAAGTTCTATGCTAAGATAGTTTTCTTACAATATTCGCTTCTGAATTTCTTCCATCTTGTTTTCTAGTCAACTTTGCATTTACATTTTTGAAGGCCACAGTAAATGGCTATCGAATTTTCTCTTTTTTTTTTTTTTTTTTTGTATACTTTTACACACAGTAGACACATACAACTTGTTGGCAATAATTTCCAGAGGTGAAATGAATAAAAGACGGGATGCGTCCAATAAAATTAAGGGCCAGCAGAACACAGACGAAAGTGAAAGTAAATTCATACGCAATCATAGATTCAAACAGCCAGAAAAACTGGCGAAACAGATACTGTCATACAAAAAAATAAACACATTTTCTAATAGATATTGAAAAGATGATAACGGGGAAGGATTAACTAGAAGCAAATAGAAAATGGACAGTGTCCTCGTTGAACTTTCGGGGTGTGGGGAGAGTGAACTTAATGGAAGTTATAAGCTGAAGCTCAGGGCATGATAAAAAGATTCACAAGATGGAAAAAGAAAAACCAACGACGGACACCAATAAAGTTCAATGACAAAACGCAGAATGTGAAGCGGAAACTGGATATTTTTCTGTTTCAACAGTATAGGAAGTGAGTTGAGGAGATTAAGGGATTATGCATAACGTAAAGGCTTGCATTATATATATATATATATATATATATATATATATCGGATGGTATTTCCTACATTTTTCAACCGATTTCAACAAAACTTCACAGGGCTACCTAAAAATTACCCGGCGGTGGTTCTGACAGCGCCAAGAATTGGAAAAGCACAATTGTTTTTGCAAGAAATCAATTTGAAAGCACAGTTTATCGCACCCGGCCGGAAGTAACTCCCGGCTAGTCAAACGTCTGAAAGCGTCACCGCGGAAATACAGAACGAATGCCGTTAACTTCCGGTGACTCAGCGGGTTTTTTTGTTTGGTTGTTTTTTTTTTTTGTTTTGTTTTTTTTCAGAGAACGGTACACAAAATTAAGCAAATGAAACCTAAACATACACAAGTCCTCCTAATTAAAAATAATAACCCGAAACTACTTTAAATACACATGGTGTCCCAATGAAAGCCATGTCTACAGTCAAAATGCTAAAGTTAATTTTTAGTCATCAACCAAAAGATATTGCCAACCAGCTACGATGCTAACATCTGCTGCCATAACCACAGCCGATTTCCTCCACCAAGGGAGGGGAATTTTGTCCCTGCCCGAGTGTACGCTCTCGGGTTCCCCAGATTAATCCGACCTTTTGTCACATCTCATTCTCGTGGGGGAACGAGTAAACGCCGCGACGTTCTCCCCCCTGTCACCTTCACCTGGCCGACCCTCGTGGAAAATAATCCTCCTCATCTCAAGTGTTAATAAAAGCAAAGCATGTCAGATTTATAAAGATTTCCTATTTGTCCCTTATCCTATCATTCTCTTGCATTCCTATCAATATTTGATCGTAATTATATATATATATAGATAGATGCAAACTATGCCTGGAAGAAAAATATATGCTTCAAGTGAAAATAATATTTTGTCAGTTTTAATAACTACCTTTCTATATACAATAGTATTAATTCACTTTTCCAACTTACATTGTTGGAAATTGAAAAAAAAAAAAGTTACTAATTTTTAATGTTATTTTGCTTTTTATTTATACATGGATTTCGACACCTATTTTTTCCCTAAAAAAATTATATTACTCGAATTATTTTTCTCCTTGACAACCATTTATCCCAAAATAATATGAAGGTTAGAAAAAAATGTATCTAATATTATAATCTATCCTTTAACTGTCTCTGACCACAAATTATTTTCACTTGAATCATCGACCTAACCAACCTAAGAGACTGTTAAAGTTCAAATTTTACATTCTAACGCAATTCTATGGCCAGATTTATCTCTTCTTAGCGCTTATCACCTCCTCCTCTTCCCATAGCCTCTGTCTTTTTCTTTTCCTTTTCGTTTATTTTTTCTTTTTCTTTTCTTTTTCCTTTTTTCTTTTTCCTTGCCTTTTCACATTTTTTTCTCTTCCTTTTCTTTGCCCACAATTACTAATGACTTAGATTCCCTTCCATCTTCACATGTAAATTCTAGAATACCTTTTATGAATATTTCTAAAGGACAGAAGTAGGTGATATTTGCTTCGATAAGTGTATTTCTGAATAAGTCTTCAGTAACATTGTGATTCTTCACCTGATCCGACATTTAAAAAAAAAACGTTTTCGTTTTTTGACGATGAAACAAAAATGTACTATTTTGTAGTGGATATGTTCATGTTCTAATATTCTGCATAATAAATAATAATTTACGGCTCTACTTTTTGTATTGAGCACTGTTTTTAAATTAATGTTTTGAACGCTGTGATGTTACTGTTCATTCTTCTACACTTTGAGATTGATATATATATATATATTAAAATAATAGGTAAGAACAATATATAATTTTTTTGTAATATATAATCATCACAACACCAGAATTTCCATGTTTCAAAACTGAAACTTCGAATTAAATCATAAAAATTAAAGTTAAAATACAAAGTTCTGTCCCGTTAGCAAGGGACGCTAAGAATGTTAGTATTTAGTTTAATTTTTATGGGTGAATTTGAATTGAAGGTTCAGTGTTAAAACATGGGGAGAGTCTGGCGATGTGATAATCATATAGTTTTTAAAAAATAATTATATTCGGCTCCATGCTTGTATCAATCTCTGTTTTTTTGTAAATGCTAAGATCTCTGAATAATAAATCTCATTGTTCAAAAGATATAAATTTAAACGTAATAGATCTCTTCAGCATAAATCTTATGTTTGTGTGTTTTATAATATATAGACATGAGATATACAATATATATATATATATATATATATATAATATAATTTCAATATAAAGATAGAATTTGTAATATTATAAAGTACATAAAATAAGCAATAGTCTCAAACCGTTTATAATCTAAATGAACTTATTAAAGCTTAAACAGGATATGAGGAAACATTATAAACTATCTAGTATATTTGACAGATTTAAGTTCAATAAGTATCCGTATCTATATCTCTACAATAAACTCTTTTCATATAAATTAGCATGTAGTACCTGAATTGGTCAAATATATATTTAACCGCTCTCTTTATATATACATCGCATTAATGACAGTCACAGTGGAAACGTCAGATTTCTAAAAGTCTGTCGTGTCCACTAAAATATCAACTACAATATTTATAAACCAATCACACTTAAGAAAACACTTACATCTTAAAACACACCAATAAAATCATAGATTACAAATCAGAATGTTTGTTGTATTAGTCATCATTATTTTAGCTAGATACCGACCAAATATCGTACGGACGTAGTAGAAGACATACCACCTTACTTCTTAGGGCCAATTAGAAATAAATAAATAATTTAATTCTGGAGCCGATATTGTTCGGAAAAAGTGTATAAAAACATACGAAATCCGTTCCCAAAACAATATACACGCGGCTGTCAGCAAGCTACACACACCTTTCGCCGATGGCCTTCATGACCTCATGTCAAAAACGACAGCGTTGACAAACTCCAGAT